GGGAGGGAGGAAGCGAGAGAAGGGGGAAAGAGGGGGATAGGTGCTTTAAATATATTCGTATCAAGATGCGGAGCGGAAGCGAGCGAGCACTGTTAATTTCGTCATAAACACATTACATATACATGTACTACGATTCCAGCAACAGAAAATAACAGAAGATGTAGCAGACCACACTAGGGCATCCATTCGCAAGGAGAAATGTACCGTGTGGTTTTTAGTGAGTTTTATGGCAGTTACAACAAAACAGTGCACTACAAGTGCCAAAGATTACAGGTATAACTTATACTAGAGAGTAACATACAAAAAAATGGAGGGCAGATAAGGACGATAGATGTAACTATTGTGTTTGATGGGAAAGAAGGAGCAAACCACACAAGAACCCGCCAAACACCTACAATCGAGTGTGTGAGAATTCATATATTGTGCGAATATTTATATAGGCTCGAAGTACCGATAATAAATCGAAAACGTAATATTATATAAATAAATTGATACAAACTGTCTACGGCACAGCTGTACAAGTAAGTGAATTTTATGCCGAGCGTGTCATTTCGATAGAAGAATATGCGAAAACAGAGGGCAATATCTTCCACACGAGTCTCTCCTCCCCTGGCTCCTCCCACAAAAGATAAATATTTCCCCTAACTCGCTTTCATCCTTAAGCTGCTTTTTTTGTTTTGGTTTGGGGTAGTGTTTTTGGCTGGAGCTTTTTTTCCTTTTCTTATTTTTTTTTCTTTTTCATTTGGTTTTTTGGTTTTCCCACTTCTTCCTGTGAATACCTTCCCCGCGCTCGGAGCTGGGCATGGAAAATCAATCATAATACTCCAACGAGGAAAGCAACCGCACGGAACCGTGCCGTGGCACTTCGCTGAGCGGCTTCTTCTTTAAAGTCTTTACTATCACGTCTCTGCTTCTTTCAACTTTACTGGGGGGACAGGCCTGGCCAGAAAGGAGCAAGCGTTTCATGGTTCGGCACATTACTCGAGACTGAAAAAGAAAACCAAGCCCTCTCTCGACTGATGTGTAGTTTGAAGGGATGCCGTCCAGGAATGGTTCCCATTCCCAGTACAGTCTACATAGCGAGCTTAAGGATGATTTACAGCAACAGTCGGCACAATGGGACAGAAATGAACTATGGACAACACTCTTCGGGGCTCGACAAAGCGAGGAAAAATGGACGTTGGAGGAGGGGACAAACGTTCATCACAACGTCTCTCTAAGCCCCCCCCCCCCCCCCCCCCCCCCTTCAACAAAAAAAAAATCACTGCCCAAGGTATAGCAAGATACAAAAAGCTTTACAATGATGTATGTTGAATGCAGTACCCATGATTTTGACAAAATAGAAATTCTATATAAAATGGCGAAATCAAAAATACATCGATGAACCTATCCATTACTTGGTGAGGGTTCAGAATGCAACGCAATTTAGAAGTAAAGATTTTTATTATAATATGAATTCAGAAATAGGACGTAACGCAGGCGTTCATCTGATGAATGGTCATCATTTATCATTATTCAAAAACCTTTTAAAAAAGTACAGTAATTTGACTGATTTTTTAAAAAAGTTACAGTTTCTATAATCCACAATCTGTATATTTCTTTAACTTTAAAAGTAAACGACTACTAAAATTATGAACCCATGTATGAAAATGTGACAGGACTTGCACTTTTTCTTTTCAAGAAACACAACAATGAAAGGTATCATTTTGATGAATAATTTTTAAAATACATCTGCATACAAGCAACTTAATTAGCTGAGATCTAAAATAACTAGTCCTTCAAACAATAAATTTTAATGTTACTCACCATGTGTCAAAGTCTATTGCGATGATATAAGAAATACAATTACCACGATTCAGGACAAAGTTTGAAATATATCATGTTATCTTTCAAATTCCTTCATAATTTATCTACATTCAAAAAACGAAAAAATTCAACCACAGTATCTTTTTCCCGTTCCAATAAAATTAACCGTATACATGTATTATAATATTATAAGGATTTTAACTTTGGGAACATTTTTTAAACCTACAAAATCTGAAAGACAAATTTAATTCCCTTCTTCACATTACCCTTCTACATGTTAGTGCAATAGATTAAAAAAGACATGGAAAAAACCAACTTAGGTACAATCTCATGCAGTGTTGATAATAACTATGTAGAATGAAATAAAAAACATACACACAGTTCAAACTTTTCCAACTTTGACTTTGATGGTACAACCGTTCAAAAAAAATAAAAGACAGTGCATTTCATTTTAAGACGCTGTTGTTTGAGATTTTTTAAAATAGGAAAACAAACTGGAAAGTCTCCCCACATTATCATTGCAGCTTGCATGAAAAAAGTTGCCTTTCATTTCTCATTAGTGCAGCACATACAACAACAAAAAAAGGACTAATTAAGAAGAGATCATTTATCTCTGACGCAGCTCCTCCATTTTTCAAGTTTTATTATAAATATATAAAATTCATCTTGAAGTTGAAAAAATGACAATTCTTTAAGTTTTCATTGATTTGTGATTTGATACCTACCCTCATTACAGGTTGCAGAGTTAAATATTTTAGACTATCTCTGTCTCAACAAAATAAGACACACTTTTTTCCGGCACTTTATACCACCCTGATTGAACAACAATTCCAGATTCAGAACTCTCAAGTTCTAAACCTTTCATTTAAAACTAATAAGATGGCGTAATCTGGGAACACTATATTTTGGCTACACTGAAAGTAAAATAATTGCAAACATGATTCAGGTTCATAACTTTCATTTTTTCATCTTTCAAAGCTTAATTATTTGTCTTTTTGAACCGACAGTTACAATGTACTAAGAATGTGAAGGACTGACAATTATTAAAAGGATTTATAGGACATAATTAAATGATCCGACAAAAGACCAAGCGACTACCATCTGTCTCAACAGTCAAGACCTTGAGTGGCGGCCACAAAATGAATAGTTCCCAAAGTAAAATTACTATTTAAAAAATACAAAGGTAAATCAACTACTTAATAAGTTGAGGATATAATGTTTGACACTCAAAAATCCCACTGAGAAATATTCTAAAACCTAAAACTGGTATCTCATTATCTCCCAATGTATTATAAAGTCAACTGTAATTAAATCCTTCCACTTGATAGAAAAGCAATTATGATAATAATATAAATATACCAAAAACAATTCAAGAATTTCGCTTAACTTTTAACACTTTCCGTTCCCACACAAAATGACAAATAGGACTACTTCGTTTTTGATGTTACTTACCAAATTTTCAGACAAAATGCAGAGTATAATAATGAGATCAATGCACTTATATACTCTGTGTATGACTGATTTTTACCTTTTGATCTACACCCCCCCCCCCTTCAACAGAAGGCAGAGCTTATCCAGGAATAAAAGAAAAATAAGACCATGATACATGGTGTATGAACATCAAGTGTCTCAAAGAGAAAAATAGTCAAAATTGTTCAAAACAACCACTTATTGTCATGGAGAAAAGTGGTTGTCTTGGAGAATGTCATAATGTGAAAAAATATACAAGGGAGGAAATGGAAATTGGTCATTTGTACAAGTGATTGTCTTATACATTTAAAGCAGGTTAGATAGTATAAGGCCTATATTATATCTCAACACTTAGGACTTAAATTGGAGAATCATGGGAATGCGCCTGCTCACCGCTTAAAAAGAAATTTGCTTGCTCAAAGACACATTGGTTAAGAGCATAATTTATAACGCGAGATCCTTTTTTTGAGCAGATGAGAACAAATAATGACAGTCTGTAGTCGTAGACTATTGAGAAAACACAACCTTTTACTGTTTCATAATCTGATTCCGCTTCCTCAACAAACTGTTTTACTGTCGCGAGACATGAAGAATGACTAAAAAAATCATGGTATTTTTGCAGAATTGGACTCGTCAATGGACACAGTGTTTTTATTGGGTTTTGGGGCTCACCCCCTTTATAATGGGTAAATAAATCACAATAAATCAGTGATTTTGACATTTTTGGGGCGTATTTTTGGAAGAATTTGACTCTTAAAACCATAATAGAATCTACTAATATCTAGATCTAGATTCTAATCTAGATCTATCTTGACTCAAAATGGGTTCGTTTTAAGAGGGGTGGGCTTGCACTGCTCTGTTTTCTTACATGTAGGCTGATTTGATTAGAGTTAGAGTTAAGAGGTGATTTTGATGGGCAATTCATTCAAACCATGCCAAAGTTCACTGATTTACAGCTCTTGTCTTCTTAGTCTTAGTTTAGTAGATCTAGAATTCTAGATCCAGCCTTTGTGAGACAGGTCCAATGCTGCAAATTTACAATTGTTGTTTCCACTCCAAGTTGCTCTGAACTCGGAACAATCCTTTCAGTTTCACGGAAAATAAACGGTGTATACATTTTCTCTGTCAATTCAAACGAGGTAAATTCTTGATTCTAGCTAAAAAATGACCCCAAAGCTGAAACTAAAGCGGTATAAATCTCTAGATCAGAGATTCCTGGGAGTAGATCTATAGATCTAATGTATTATTGAGCCAGAACGCGGCATATGAACGTGCCAGTGTTAGACAACACATTTAGGCCTAGCCAACACTAACACTGTGTGCGTAAACTGTAAACCGCCAGACTAGATCTAGAATCTAGATCTAGAGATATTCTACTAAAGCATAATACAACAACCGTTATTTTCCCATTCTTAACAAAACTCTGCTATTTATTTAAAACACAACTAGATCTAGAGTAAAGTAATTTCGGAATCGGGTTAGCCTATCTTGAACCCGCAGAGAGTCCCCCCTGACCTGTGTGTGTAGTGTTCTGGAGGGACAAAAGTGTGCGAAAAAAAATGGACTCGTCTGTCCGAAAGAAATACTTACAGTCTTGTTGCCCATACTGGAATGTCTTTCGGGATGTTGATCAACCCGATGTTGCTGCAGTCGACATTATTCCCCAAACAAGCACACGAAGATGGACATCGAACACTTTCCGCCACTACGGGTTGTACCGAACAACACACCCAAACAACGAAAGCAGAGCAGACCGACAACAACACGGCGGCCATATTGGCCCGACATTGAACTCGATTAGTATTCCACTGATACACTTCTAAAAGTCAAAGAATCTTTAACTCTGTGCAAAAATGGTCGCATGCTTTACGAAGATATCCAACTTCAAGAAGACACAAGTTACTCCATATTACAGTGGGCACATTCACAACCTGTCATAGTTGAAGTTTCACAACACACTGAGGTAACGTGAGCTTCGCCTCCCACGTTTGTGCCCGAATGCATTCCTCCAACAAGAAGTAGTCTCCGGTGATTGGCGGCTGGTGTCACGTGACGCATATATTAACACCCTGGGTTTCGAATGCAAAACATACTGATTGGAACTGACAAATTGCCCACGAAGCACGCGTCTATCGGTGTCAAATCCATTTGTTTAATCGCTCCACCAATCTTTTTGCTTTGAAAGAATACTTTGGGACCAACAGAGGTGCTGCCTCCTGCTGAAATGCAACTTGATGCATCTGTTAACTCTAAGAAATATATGATTGTCCCTCTAAATCTACCAAGAAAAGAACCCTCGCTCGCCCGCTCGTCTTTTCTCCTCCTCTGTTGCCCCGACCCTTCCTCCCACTCTCACTCTCCTCGCCGCATCTAGACCTCTCCCTCGCGCCTTCCCTTTCTCTTTCTCTCTCTCTCTCTCTCTCTCTCTCTCTCTCTCTCTCTCTCGTGTACTTTTTGATGCCCATGCTTCATAACATATCCCTCGCTTACAAACTTGCTTTTAATTTTGTCAATACCCTGTTTACAAAGGTGTACAAAGACTATGGCAAATGATTTATCTGCCAAACAATGAAATTATTCAAAAATCAGATAAGAAGCAGAACGTCAACCTTTCAAGCCTTTTTCTGTTTGATGTTTTCTTTTAACCCTTTGCTTTTTCTGTGGAGTTCTCAAAGAAACAGCTTGCATGCGCGTGTGGGCGCGCGCGCGCGCGCGCGTGTGTGTGTGTGTGTGTGTGTGTGTGTGTGTGTGTGTGTTTGTGTGTGCGCTTGTGCGTGTGTGTGTGTGTGTGTGTGTGAGAGAGAGAGAGTGTGTGTGTGTGTGCGTGTTTGTGTGTGTTTGTGTG